AGTAAGCGTTGTATTGTGTGGTTCCAAATCAAAGCATTGGTTTCTGTTGCATGAATATCAATAGGATAACATAATTTCTTGGCTGCTTGAACCTTTTTGTATGAGGAAAATTTTTCAGGTAAAATTTTCCTTAAAGCATCATACTGATATCTAGATAGTTTTGCTTCCACAAAAACACTTAAAGCATCTTCACGTGACATTTTTTTTTGTGGTTCAAGTATTTTCTTATATGCTTCTCTATATTTATTTGCACGTTTGGGACTTTCTGTAGCTTCTTTCAATACTTTTGATGCATGTAAAATTCCTTCAGTTCTTTAACTTATTTGAGAAGCACAAGTCAAAACCGATATAAAATGAGTCGCACTTAAAACTCGCTTTGATTTCCTTTGGATTGTTCGTTAACAAAAATTTGAAGTATTATACTTCTTTTCGTTGCTGCAAGTTTTGCTCACTGTATGCTGATTTAAACAAATGGAACTGTTTAACAAAAACTTATTGTTTTTTTGAAAAACTTCATATATCCTATGTGATTTTATCCAACGAGATTTATACTGTGACATAAATAAAGACAGTGACTGACTTAACGCATTTAAATGTTTTTCTTCATATTCTGTAAGATTTATAATTTCTTCATTCAAAAAATGAAATTGTTCGTTCATTTTAATAAACCCAGAATCTCTCATAATAGCCACAAGTTTACTTCTTTTAAAAAACATAATGTTTTTACTCTAAACCGAAATCATATAAAAAAGTTTTAAGATTAACCTAAAAAACAATTACCAAAGCATGGTCAAAAATGCATTGTCTAAAAAAATTACATAAAAATAAAATATAATTAAAACGCTATTTTTGTAAAGGCATAATAATATACAGTGCAAGCACTTAAATAATATTTTATTATTACCAAAATATAGCTACAAGCCTAAAATTAAAAAATACCTAAAAAAAAATTCATAACTTTTAACAAACTTCTCATAAGCACTATATAAACAAAGTGGTACTTTAAACTCGGGCAAGCAAGTCATTTTTTAGACAATAGAATATGGCTAAAATATGCGTTCCAAAGGGTTAAAGGTCAGTCCAAACCTAAAAAAAAACGTGAATAAAATGGACCAGAGACTCTTTTATGCATTACTACTAAAAAAAACTTTTATAACGCCTTATTTCATTTTCGTCAAATGCCCAATTTTGAAGCAATTCTGCCCCACTGTGCTCCGCAATTAAATGCTCATCACTAGAAAAATGACGCCAACGGGGAGATCAAATACAAACTAGAGAATTTTAAAAATAAAGTAGTCTGGCACAAAGAACCTATGAAGGTCTCTCCAGGAGCTGACTAACATTTAAAATACCGCAGAAAAATCATAAAGAACTGTGCTCAACGGTATAATTTCTTTAACAATAGAGTTGCTTCGATTTGGAATTCACTACGAGATGATGTTGTTATGCAGCAAAGCACAAATTCTTTTAAAAAAAACTTGGACAAATACATTGAACAAACTTTAAACTTAATAATCTAACAAAACTGCAAAATGAAAATGTAGTCCTGAAGTTAATAAAGTTTTCTCATTCTTTCGCGTTTGACGTTGTTGCTTGCAACAGATGAGATGCTTTACACAAAAAATGACAATGAAACTTTTTTGTGTGTGTAACTTAAGTTACTAATATTAATACTGATTTATATGTATATATATATATATATATATATATATATATATATATATATATATATATATATATATATATATATATATATATATATATATATATATATATATATATATATATATATATATATATATATATATATATATATATATATATATATATATATATGTAAATATATATATATATATATATATATATATACATATATATATATATATATATATATATATATATATATATATATATATACATATATATATATATATATATATATATATATATATATATATATATATATATATATATATATATATATATATATAAACATTTATAAAATTTTTAACTAATTTAAATTAATTTTAAAGTCTTTTACTTACTTTATATTATATTATATAAATATTATATATGTAAGATTAAATAAGTTTATATATTTGTTCAAAATGATGACTGGAAGATCTATATTTATTTATATAAAATGACTAATGAAAGTATTTATGATTGGTATTTGACATTAAAAGATACATCTTATTATACAATATATTGTAAATGTTGCAGAGATTTTAATGTTAAACTGTTTTGCTGCAAGAAAGCTTTAGTCAAAAAGATAAATAGTTGATACCATAAGAAAGTTAAAGAAACAACGAACAACTATTATTATAGTTGTTAGGTATAGCCTTTTTTCCACCTGTGGTAAATGTCCTCATAATACAGTGAATGCATCTGGAATTCCTAAAGAAACAATACTAATAAGCGAAAACAAAATGCTGAAAAAAGTAAATAAAGTTTTAAAAAGGAAAATAGAATTTATGATTTAAAAATTGAATCTATGTTGGATTTAAAAATGGATTATTTTACACATCTAATAGATTATGAAGATATGCAATATAGAAGAGCCATTAAAGGCAAAAGTGCTGCTTTATCAACAAAATTTTTATCGTTATAATCTTAAGTGTCGAATGTGACAAAAAACTTTTTTGTAAAACGAAAATAGAAGACACCAAAATGAAAAACTTGTCTTCGGAGGATTATATCAAAATCTTCTTATTGTCATTCAAGCAAATTTAACACCAAACAAACAATCTTTAAGTAATATAAGTAATAATTCAAAGCCTTGTATAATGCATGATACATGATGCAGCTGTTGAAAGCAAAAAAAAAAAAAATTAATGGAAAAAATTCAGGATGAAAAACTAAAGAATTAATAGAGCACCAAAATAAATATTCCTTGTCAAAATTTATTAACAATCCATCTGATTTTTTAAATTTTTCTATACAAAATCGTGTTAGAGAAAAACATTTTCTTGAAGTACCTTGGGAACGTGCACAAGTAGTACAAATTGATCAATTAAATGCTAAAGAACCACATACCTTGTTAAGTATGATAATGAACCTGATGAAGTATGGTCACTTCCCTTATTAATTGATTTTGAAAAAGTTGTGGAAGTTAGTGGAAGAAAAAAGATGAAGATTGTAGAGCAAGTTGTATGAATCAGGAAAGCAAGATGAAGGAAGCGAATTCCAAAACACTGATGTTCGAGGAAAAAAACTAGACAAGTAAAAGTTTTTGAAGCACTTAGGAACAGTAACAGAAAAAGGATGAGACTTAATTGAATGACGAGTAACACGAGAAAGAATTTTAGTAGATGGCACAAGAGACGCTAGCTCTTTAGAGCAGTGCCCATTATAGTATTTGTAGAAAAGAGAAAGAGAATCAAAATTACGACGATGTGACAGAGGTTGAAGGTTGGCTGCAAGAGCAGGTCCAACTATGTTTACAATGCGTTTTGTCTAAAAGAGAAAGGGCATCATTAGAAGATCCGCCCCAGATATGGCAACAGTATTACATACAAGGCCGGATTTGAGATTTATAGAGATAGAGAATAGAATCCAGAGTAAGAAAGTGTCGAGCTTGATAAAGAGAAGCAACTTTAGCAGATGTTAATTTTGCAACGGATTTGATATAACGTTTCCAAGAAAGATCAGAAGTGAGAATTAATCCTAGAAGATGAAGGGTAGGAGACTCATCGAGTACATTACCGTTTATAAATATAGGAAGGTCTAAATTATTGCAATAACGATTGGCTGAAAAAAATTGAGTTTTTTTTTGAATTAAAGTTCACCAGCCACTCTAAGTCCCATGCTGTAGCAGAAGTAAGATCCTTTTCAAGCTCAGATGCCCCCTGCAAGCAATCAGAGGGAGTTGGCTTCTTATCGTGACAAGAATAAATGGTAGTATCATCAGCGAACAGTGCCACCTTAGATGTGAGAATATCTGGAAGATCGTTAATGTAAATTAAAAAGAGTATAGGGCCAGGGATTGAACCTTGAGGAACCCCTGAGGTTACAGAAAAAGCAGAAGAGTGCTGTCCATCAAGGACAACTTTTATACTGAGTTGAAAACTTGTTTAAAAATCCGTTGCTATGGCGTTTTTAAAGACCTCATAAACCTATTATGGCCAAAGTACACACATTTTGACATATTTATTTGATCAAAAAAAAAAATGTCGTAAATACGTTATTAAACAATTGATTTTTTCTAAAAAAAGATTTCAAAATTGGCGGGGACCTTATAGAAAGTTCAAACAAAAGGTAATTTAAATTAATATTTCTCAAAGTTTTCTTACGCAAAACGTTATATTGAAACATTTCAAAACTTAAGTTTTGTTACAAAATTTTAAAACATATTTCACTCATGGCCTACTCAGGGGCTGTTCATATGGTAAAAAACCGGGGTACCCCGGTTAGGCGGGATGAATTTCAGCTGTGTTCATATGGAAAAAACATCTCGCTCTAGCGGGGCGTTTTTAAGATCATGTGACATTTGTTTATTTATAATCATTCGCGCAAATTATTAAATTAAAAATGGAAGTTAAAAAAAAAAATAGCTTTCATTGCTACAACTAATATAATAGCTCTCCAATCTTATTTAATGCACATTAGAAGTATAATAATATTACGTATTTTACAAAATGAGCATCAAATGAAACTTATCATAAACAATCTTTTAAGAAAAAAAAAACTTTCGTCTTAAAAAGCTTAAGGACAAAATGTTAAGAAAAAATAGTATAAATCCCCGTAGCTGTTGGTACAAACTTGGACGGTCTGATAAGTGGTGGGAAAACATGATAACTGGTGGTTCTCCAGAAATTTGCTGGGTTAAAAATTTTAGATTGTCAAAAAGTGCATTTATGGATTTGGCCGAACAACTTAAACCATACTAAACATACTTAAACATAGCACCTAATTCGAAATCCCCTAATTATAGAGCTTTGAGCACAGAAAAAAAGCTTGCAATTACTCTATACTATCTTAAAGATACTGGTTCTTTATTAATGACAGCCAACTGTTTTGGGATTGCAGTAAATACCGTCTCTTCAATTATTACACAAGTGTGCAAAAACATTGTTTATCACCTAGGACCAATCTATATATCTCTACCGAAAACAGAAACCGAAATGAGACAAAAGGTAGCTGAGTTTGAATCCAAGTTTGGTATGGTTCAAGCTTTTGGTTGTATAGACGGTACACATGTGCTAATAGCCTGTCCTGTTGAAAACTCTCAGGATTATTTTTGTTATAAACAATATTATTCCATGAATGTTCAAGCAGTATGTGATTATAAAGGAATGTTTATGGATGTAGAATGCATTTGGCCTGGAAGTGTTCACGATAGCAAAGTATTTGCAAAATCATCTATAAACAGAAAACTACGCAATGGTTCCTTACCAGAAACATTTCAATCAGTATTACATGGATATGAAAAAATTGGAACATATATTATTGGTGATCCAGCCTACCCCTTGACTCCCTTTTGTATAAAAGAGTATCAAACTTGTAGCAATAACGAGCAAGTTTTAATAGCATGCTTCGATCGGCTCGAAACCCTATCGAATGTGCATTTGGGAGATTAAAAGCTCGCTGGGCAATTCTTACCAGAAAAATAGATTTTAAATTGAAACTTGTACCAAAAATTGTTCATGCTACATTTGTTTTACATAATTTTTGCGAGAGACACAAAACATTAGTTGATTATGAAAGTGTAAATAAGCAAGTTCAGCTAATTAAAAATAATGAAGAAACTTATATTAATCAACCAAACCTAGTTTATTCAAATAATACAGAAGAAGGAGAATTCAGAAGAATATTGCTTACATCTTACATTTCAGAATGTTTGCCAAACTAATAATGTTTAAATCATAAAATCACTTATGATGGTAAAATTACAGAAAATTTCTGCATAATTGAAATATATAGTTTTGTTTATATATTTTTATTACTGCTTTGCTAATTTTTAATTATTGTATTCATCAAAATCTATATGATAAATAAACAAAAAGTATTTTGAATAGTATTGTACTATACAAGTACGTAAAATACTATAAACCTTTAATAAACAACATTAATAAAACAAAGTTATGGATGTGTTTCATATTATAAAAAACTATCAACTGTCTATTAACACTCTCACATATCAACAGGTGCTCTTTAGTCACAAAACAAAAAAGTATAATTAAATGTGTGTTTAAAACAGTTTTTCTACTTTTCCTTGTTTTCAGGAGCTGATTCAGAATCTTTAAAATTTTGAGAATATGTAGGTGCATTAAAATTGTAATAAGTTGGAATAGGTTGGTGTTGTGGCAAATAATGTGGTTGAATAGGTTGCATTGCCATTGCTAACGTTTCAATTGACAACACATGCTGCTACCCACATTAACCATGGAATTACTTGCTCTAGTGATTTAGCAAAACTTTCACTTGATAAACGTAAACTTTCAGCCAAATCAGTTTTAAATTTAGCATTTTCTTTTGCTTCAGCGAATAATAGTTTGTCACGTTGACTTGCAGACAAATTTTTTTCTAAATGTTTTCGCTTGTTATCAATTAATTTAGTAACTACATTTGTCTTTCTTTTACAACTTGGTGTAGCAATAATCGCGTTTCTTGTTTCAGAAAAGCATTCTGGTGGTTGCGTTGATAATTGGTCAAGAGATTCCTCATTAATAAAATCATATTCAGTTTCTTCATTATAACTGTTTATGTTTTCTTCTTCAACTTGACTACTTTTTATACCAAATGACAAAGGTTTTATATTTGCTGAAAAACCCCAAATTTCAATCAACTTATCATAGAATTCGTATACAATTTTTCCACTTCCACTCTTCGTTCCTAAAGTGACAGCTTTTGAAAAGTTTTGTCGTACATCTTTGACTTTTTCAATAATTCTAGACTTTCCTTTTGTAATAAATTCAGTCTCTTTATGATAAAGTTTTTTATATTCTTTATCGTCCATATCACCTTTTTGGTAAACTCGACAGGACCAAACATCCATGTTTCATCATTGTTACAATACAATTTTGCCATATCATCCCTTAAATGTTTATACATTGCCGGCTTGTCGCCATCAAAATCTATTCCGCGGTAACTCATTTGTGATTTATAATTAGAAATAGCATCAATCAAATTTTCTACCATTTCAGTATTCCATTTGAAAACTTGTTTTTTAACTTGTTTTATTGCAACAGTCGCCATTTTTTATTCGATATATTTGAAACAAGAAGCACTTATAAAATTATTAACTATTTTTGTTTTTATACGTGGTTGAACGATTTAAACTTAAAAATTATTAAATGCTCATTAAATTTCTTAACAAAACTGTCCAGTCGAGCCGGGGTGATTTCAACTTGTGTTCATATGAAAAATTTTCACCCCGCCTGACCGGGATCCCGGTAGTCCATAGGCGAGATCTCGCCTAGGCGGGGTGAGAAAATTTATATATGAACGCGATGTTAAAATTATGAGTTTATTAAGATAGGCGGGACCCCGGTTGTTTTTTTGTCCCGGTTAGGCGGGATGATTTTATCCATATGAACAGCCCCTTAAATAAACGGCCTTCTATTCTGCTTAAATCGGAAAAAAATAGAGGCTAGTTAAAATAACGCATTTTTTTGGAGGATGGACAATCTTTCTAAAAATATTTTAATTATTGAGTTATGAATTTTAAGTAAGTAAATCTGGCACGGGATAAAAATTTTTGCGTTCGCTTAATCGAAATATCTACTAAACCACTAAACTTTGTATACTTTATTGAGGCTTCATTTTAATAATAAATCATGATAAATTAATAATCATGATTAATAAATGCTGTGTTTATTGAAAACAACACAAAATTTATTAACCGTCATAATTACATATTACTTAAATTATTTTATAAAGACATGGGTTATATTTGTCAATAGAATTTTTGTGATATTCAATTAAAATAAATATTTGAAATAATAGTGTGTATAATTTCTTTTCCACAATTTTGGTGATTTAAACATAAAAATGGTTGGTAACCTTCTCTACTGCCAAGAACTAACTTTGCTGCTTTACGGTGTTGCATTCGAGACTGATAAATAACATCAAATACATGATCTAGAATAGCAAAACTATCACAGACATATTCTAAAAGGGGTAATGATGGAGTTGTTAGCCCACCTCTGGACAATATATTTAAATAATTATAATCATTCAACTCCTGTTGACAATGTTGAGTACAAAGCAATTTGCAACATATTTTAAACTTCTTATTCAGTTTTTTGGCAATAAAACCAGCAATATAACTAGCAACTTCACGAGAATCATCTGATAAAGTCACACAATCTAAATCTCTTTCTTTGATCTGATTCATCAAGGATCTAGCATGTTGTGTATCTTCTACAGCATTAATATCATTTTCGAAAATTTGAATTCCTTCCTTTACTAAACTTTTTATTTGGATTATCTTCTCACTATAAATAACATCTTTCAAACTGACAAGAAACCTGCCACCACTCATTTGGCGGTATTGTCCAAATCTTCTTTCTAACGGATCACTTTGAAAACGAGCAGTCAATATAAATTTATAATTATCTTCTAACAGATCTTCTATTAATAAAGCATGACAAAATAAAGTTCTTTGTAGTGCTGATAACGTTTGAGGAGATAGTGTATATTTCTCAAAATTTGGAATTTTTGTGTTTTTCCATTTATTTAACCAGTCAGTGAAAGCTCGAAAAAACTCAGGTTTTTTATCATTAATTATAGCAGCATTTCCAAGACAGTTGTTAGAAAACTGATTTTTTGAATTTGTAATTATCCACCATTTATTAAAAAGAGTTAAGAAAGATGCAATATCTAAACAGTCGGGAAAGTATGATTTTATTGCTGCTGCTGTAGTTTCATGGAAGATACCTAAAGCAATAGTGACATTTTGCTTGCAGTTTCCAGGATGGACAACTTTGCTATTTATTTTTGGTGCTTTTTTTAAACTTGCATCCAACAGGCTGTCCTTTTCTAATAAATCATGAAATATTTTCCATGATATTTCTCCTGGTTGAACATGAATTTCATCTTTAAAACCTGAAAAATGAAATTCTGGAAAAATAAACCTTTTTTTATTTAGTAAGTTGTTTCGAATGTTTTTAATCAGATGCACTGTATCAAAGAATAGGTAAATTTTTTGCGATTGTACATTAATAAACAAATCATCAGGTTTTTTACCATGTGCATTAAGCAACTTTGTAAAAGAAGAAACATTTGAAGCATGATTGTCACAAACAACACCTCGAACATTAAAACTATTTTTTATTAAAGATTGAATCAGGTTAAGAATTTCAGTCTTCAACCAATCACTGTTTAATTTTATAATTGGAACTGCTTTGACGACACAAGAGATATTTTCTTTTAAACCAACTACCATGAAGGAAACAATGCTTCTATAACATTCATTTTCCTCACTAATCCCAATTATATCTCCGCCAGAATATTCAGCACATTTTTGCAAATACATTTCATCAAAAATTATTAAAAGATCTTTTGATAAGCTCCCATTTTCATGTAACAACTTTAAAACTTTCATAGAATCAATTTCACCTGCTTTAAGCTTGCCTAACAGTGATATAGATGGAAGTGGGAATTCCTTCAGCAGTAAATTATATTTTTGCAATGATGTGTAACGCAGCATCAAGGCAAATTGAAGCATATTTGAAGAAAAAATTTGATTTTTTTTTACTTGGTGACTTTTAAGTTCTTCAAGAATAGAAGACAGCTTCTCTTTTTCGATGCTAAAATGTGAATTGAAGTTTTCCAGCATACTCCTTCTCTTTAACACACATTGGTGGGTTACTCTAAACCAAGGTGGTAAAGAAACTGGAAGATTTTTATAAAAAAGTTTAACGTGAAGATTTTTGTCAATACAAATACATTCAGCAACTTGAGGTATGTGAAGTTCATTTTGAATAATTTTATGGAACACAACACAATCATCAAATTTGGAAAATGAATATCCTGTTGGTGAATCAGCAACTGTAAGAGAATTAAGATCTTCAATAACATCATTTGATAAAAATTTCTGATATTCATCTTCTTGAAAAATTCTTTTAGTTGGTGATTTTCTTGGTACAGACATAACTGGAAGTGAAGTCGTTGCTATGCTAGCCGGATATATTGTAGGAACAGGCTTCAATTTATACAACAAACGAAATCGTTTTGCTGATGCTCCTTTGTGTATTAAATTTTCATCAAAATGTTTTAAACAGATCACAGATGATTTAGTGACAGTCCAGAAATTTCTGTTTACAAATCTAACCCATAACTTTCTTAAGTCATCATCTTTTGGAAAACCAAAAACTGGGACTACTTCACCACCATTATAATTAGAGGTACAACCAACAACACAGCATTTATTAACCATTATTATTATGGTAAGCGAAAGATACTATGACTCAAAATGAGGTTTTGATTTTTTTAAAAAACGAAGACCAGATATATTACTTATTTGAGGAGAAATGTAGGAGAGTGCTGCTACATCGATTGATCTATACCTGTCCTAACCCAAACCCTCAGGCGATGTAGCAGCATTCCCTTGCATGTTATCCCTAAATTAGTCAAT